CATCAGATTCATACTACACAGTGTGTAGTACACAGTATGACACTGAGATGCGTAATATACTAAACCATAATACTGCTACTAACAATACACAATTTAAGGGGCAAAATATTTCACATAGGAGATCAACAATATAAAAACAAGACAAGTACTTAAACAATAAAAACAGTGAGATAAACAATAAGAAATCTGCTTAAAAGAGCACAGACAGTTGTCTACTTTACCAGTAGATAGATCCAAAATTTAGGCAACCTGATTGCCGTCATCTTTAGGCGTTTAATAGGGCTGCGACTAATGATTATTTTTATTATCGATGACTCTGCCAATTACTTTCTGAATTAACTGATTCATTATTTAGTCAATAAGCTGTAATCAACTGTAATCAAAGTCTGTTTTGTCCAAAAGCCAAATATAGTTAACAATTAGTTAGTACAGTGAAAAGTAGCAAATCTTTACATTTCAGAAGCTGCAAACAGCAAATATTTGACATTTTTAAACTGATTTGCAGATTTATTTCACGAATTGACTAATTGATTAACCAATTCCATGCCAGCTGTTGTTTTTAATCTGGACTGAGGACAGGACAACAGATATTTGAGCATCTATACTGTAAGTTTGAAAACTGGGATGTCCGAGTGTATGTAGACTTTAAATGTGATTCGTGAAATCTGGAAATAAAAGAAAGTCTAAGGACTCAGAAACGTGAGTTACCTTATTACTTATCCTAAAAGTCCAATTCCCTGTAAGTTATTTCTGAGCTTGCAATCCAGTTAGTATCCAACAGCCTATTTGTGCTACCCACTCAACAGGTGTATGAACATGTCAGCTCTAATTTGATGCTGATGTGTTTGGTCACACCTTTCCTCAGGGGTGACAGGTCCAAAAGTCAACATTATCGTGCTGACAGGACAAACATGAGGCAGTCCTGGACAGGTTGAAGGAAGCATAGTACCATAATTAGCTGTCTCCACTATTTTCCCCTGTGTCTCCGTAGCAACGGAGGTGCCACATCCCATGATGCCCAACAAGGAGGTTCCCGGGGTCACATTAGTCAATTTTTGGTGGCAGCGGTAGGTCACATCAGGCCGGTGGGATGTGACAGCTGCGATGAGACCTGAGAAGCAAGAACACAAGTGTTATCATGCTGCATGTTCTGGGTTTTCACTCTTTAATTTAAGGGTTTTCTGAAGTCCTAGAAACACTTCGTCCTGTCTCATGTCACAGCAGCAGGGATTACTCCAGTGAGAATTTATTTAGTATGTCAGAGGCAAAGCAATACGGTCTTTTGTTGGGTCACCTGTTGCACTATTTGCAGTAATAAGTACATTTACCAGGGTTGCACTGGTTGGAAAATTCTGGGCCAATACCAATATGATGTTTAAAATAACAATTTGCCCGATAACAGATGCTGATATCTATGTTTTCTGCTTTTATTTATTAACCATTTTGTGCCAAAGATAAGCCTCTCTGCCTTGTTGCAGCTCACTCTATTTCTCTTTCCATTGATTGATAGTTTGAGACCTGAACAGTCATTCACTGTGTATAGAGCTTACAGGTATTTGTGTGGAATTTGTGCCAAAGCTGATTTTTTTCTCCAATATCCGAGTTGGAAATAACCAAAATAACATTTAGCCAGCCAGTACTTTCGAGTATTTTCACTTTCTGCTACTCCACTACAGTCAGATGCAAATCTTGTACTTTTTAATTCCACTACATGTATTTGACAACTTTAGTAACTAGCTAATTTGCAAATTTAGATTAATACAAAACTATATAAAATGAGTATATAAAGGATATAAAGTTAGCCCATCTTTACCAGTTGCAACATTAAAGTGATAAACACATGCGCCTCTGGTGGCTTCTTCCACCACTGATATTTAACTGTTTCCTGCTTTAGGGATCAGAACTGATTCATATATGAACATGCATGTGATCCAGCAACGTAACAGTCATAAAGTTAAAAAAAAAAAAAAAAAAGGTTCAATGCAGTTTCCTTGCTTTTTCCAACTCCCTTTCAAGTGTGCATGAACATTAGGCTTCAATTCACAAACCTCACAACACATATGCCACAATAACGGAGCATCAGGAATAAAATGAAGCTTGTAAATAGCTGCTAACCACGCTTCAACACTGTCAAACAGCCCATGCTTTTAACAGATCAGGGAACTGTAAGGAACAAATCAAACTGAACGGAAAATGTTGCGCATCATTTTTCTCCCCCGAAATGATCACAAAGCGTACTATTTTACGCGTCTGGCGCAAGCAGCTCATCAGTGCTTGTTTTTAATGGTTCCTTCCTACCTGCAGCTTGTATCCGCGCGATCCGGAAATCATGAATGGGACAGTCACACACAATCCATGTGATGCACAGAAAAACTACACGTCATTTAAATAACTGTTAACAGGAGACTTATTAGGGTAAACGCATATAATAATAGCGGCGAGGCGTTTCCAGAGAGGCTGCGGACGCTGCAGGAGCTGCTGCAGGAGGAGACGAGGAGAGCGCACAGGCAGGAGGAGTAAGAGGAGGAGGAGGAGGCATCACCAGGTGAACTGAAATCACACAACACGGCAAGAAGCCCTTCCCTTGTTCCTCAGCCTCTGCGGTTCCTCCTTAAAATACCTGTGAACTATTTAAAAACGTAATTGCCACCACGAATCAGTCCACTCATTCTCACCTCCCTGCCCAATGTTTTTAGCCTCACAATGGCTAAAAAGTTTACACTTTGGTTCTTGACAAGATATTAAA